GGTACTCAACTTAATTAATCATCAGGGAAATGAAAAATGAAACTAAAAGGAGCTATCACTACACACCCACCAGAAAATACCAACTGTTGGAGGGGTATAAAACAATCAGGGGCTGGGCTCATGTAGAGACAAGGTCTCGCCAAGTTGCCCAGGCTGATCTTGAACTCCTGTACTCAGACAATCCTCTCGCCTCAGCTCCCAAAGTGCTGGGATTACAGGCTTGAGCCTCCACTTTGGGAAGTCAAGGTGACAGGACTGCCTGACCCCAGAGGTTCAAGACCAGCCTGGGCTGGGCATAGTGGCTCACGCCTATAATCCCAGCACTTTGGGAGGTAGAAGCAAGAGGATAGCTTGAACCCAGGGGTTTGAGAACAGCCTGGGCAACTTGGCGAGACCTCGTCTCTACCATAAATCAAAAAATTAGCCAGGCATGGTGGCGTGTGACTATAGTTCCAGCTACTTGGAAGGCTGAGGTGGAAGGATCACCTGAGCCCAGTAGGTTGAGGCTGCAGTGGCCATGAGCGTGCCAATGCACTCCAACCTGGGTGACAGAGTGAGACTCCAACTTAAAAATAAAAAAATTTAAAAAAAAGAAAGACCAGCCTGGGCAACTTGGCGGGACCTTGTCTCTACAATAAATAAAAAAATTAGCTGGGCATAGTGGTACGCGCCTATAGTCCAGCTACTCAGAAGACTGAGGTGGAAGGATCACCTGAGCCCAGCAGGCTGAGACTACAGTGGCCGTGAGTGTGCCACTGCACTCCAGCCTGGGCGATAGAGTGAGACTCCTACTTAAACAAAATAAACAAATTAAAATAAAAATAAAACAATTGGGATTCTTACACAGTGCTAATAAGAGTATAAACTGGTACAATCACGTTGAAAAACTCTGGTGGTCTCTACTAAAGTGGAGCATATGCTTACTCTATGATGCAACAATTCTACTCCTAGGAATGTGTCAAGCACAAATGTATACATGGCCAGGTGCAGGTGTCATCTCAGCACTTTGAGAGGCCAAGGAAGGAGGATCACTTGAGGACAGAGCTTGCGACTAGCCTGGCCAACATACAGAGACCTTGTCTCTACAAAAAGTTAAAAAAAAAAATTTAGCCAGGCATGGTGGCACACATTTGTAGTCCCAGCTACCCAGGAGGCTGAGGCGGAAGAGTCACCTGAGCCCAGGAAGTTGAAGCTGCAGTGAGTCGTGATCATGCCACTGCACTCCAGCCTGGGCAAAGAATGAGACCCTGATGCAAACTATAAATAAATAAATGCGCATATAAGGTAACCAAACAGCATGTACTAAAATGTCTAGAGCAGCATTATTTTAATAGCCCCAAATAGTAGAAAGAATAAAAAATTGTGGTTTATTTATCAATGGAAATATTATACAGAAATGATAAGGAATATTTCACAGTTACATACAACATAAGTGAATCTAATAGTCATAAATGTTGAGAGAAAGAAGTATGCATAATGAACAATTGTATACCTAACCCTGAATTGTACCTCACATTTTTTTTTTTTTAGTTGGAGTCTCACTCTGTCGCCCAGACTGGAGTGCAGTGGCCGCTCCCGGCCCCCGCAGCCTCGACCTGCTGGGCTTCAACAATCCTTCCGCCTAAGCCTTCCAAGTAGCTGGAACTACAGGCACACGCTACCACATCTGGCTAATTTTTTTATTTTAATGTAGAGATGAGGTCTCGCCAAGTTGCCCAGGCAGATCTCAAACCTGCGGGCTCAAGCAATCCACTCACCTCAGCTTCCCAAAGCGCAGGATTACAGCCTGAGCCACCGAGGCCGGCTGTACCTCACATTTTAAAAAATAAATATATATAAAGTTTAGCCGGGCTCAGTGACTCAGTCTGTAATCCCGTGCCTTTGGGAGGCTGAGGTGAGTGGATTGCCTGAGCCTGCGGGTTCGAGACCCGCCTGGGCAGGCGAGACCTCATCTCTACAATAAATCAAAAAATTAGCCGGCAAAAGGGAATTAAGGTTGCTAATCAGGTAAGCTTAAAATAGGGAGAATATCCTGAATTACACAGGTGGACCCAAAGTAATCATAGGGGTCCTTAAAAGTGGAAGAGGGAAGCAGAGAGAATAAAAGAGACACAGAAAGACACAGTGTTTGAGAGATGCTATGATGCTGGCTTTGAAGATGGAGGAAGGGGCCAAGGTATACAGGCAACCTCAGGAATCTGAAAAAGACAAGACTACAAATTCTCTCCTACAGCCTCCAGGAAGGAACTCAGTCCTATCAATACCTTGATTTTAGCCCAATAAGACTCATGATGAACTTTCAATCTACAGAACTATAGGATAATAAATTTGTGCTATTTAAATCCAGTAAATTTGTGGTAATGCAGCAATAGGAAACTAATACAGTTGGTGTGGGGGAAGATTAAGTGTTCAGTTTTAGACGTATTCAGAAACTCTGAACATGTTAACTATCTAAGTGGAGATGTCAAGTGGGCAGTTGGATATATGAGTCGGGAATTCAGGGGGCAGGTATGGGCTGGAGATATACATTTTGGAGTTGGCAGTAAAGAGACAAGCAAAAAAAAGTATGAGATTAACAAAAGAGTGATTGTAAGAAAAGAAGTCTAAGGACTGAGCCCTGAGATACTCAACTCGAGACTGACAAAGAGTTGGTGGTTTAAAGCTGATGAGCACTCCAAAACAGAGGCATAAACATACTGAGATGTAAGTGCAGAGCTAAGCAATAGGTCAGAGGCAGATACTGAAGCAAAGCTTGTAAGAATGGTAGGTACTGAAGGCTAGAGTGACAGATCCCACACACAGAAAACAGTCTTGACAACAAGATTTAGGAATCCAAGCACAGGCTGGGCAACAGGGGTGAGAAAATGTAAGTACGAGCCGGGCTCGGTGGTCAGCCTGTAATCCCATGCCTTTGGGAGGCTGAGGTGAGTGGATTGCCTGAGCCCGCGCGTTCGAGACCCGCCTGGGCAGCGAGACCTCATCTCTAAAATAAATCAAAAAATCAGCCGGGCGTGGTAGCGCATGCCTGTAATTCCGGCTACTTGGAAGGCTGAGGCGGAAGGATCACCGGAGCCTAGCAGGTTGAGGCTGTGGTGGCCGGAAGCGGCCACTGCACTCCAGTCTGGGTGACAGAGTGAGACTCCAACTCAAAAAAAAAGAAAGAAAATGTAAGTACAGAATCTGGGTAATGTACTCTAGATGTAAACAAAAATGGGACCTTGGCTCTGAGTCAGCTTTTCACCTTGGGTTCCTATTCTTTATTTGTTCCTGTCCTCTACGGGTTTCTATGCATCTCAACCTTATCATTTGCCCTTCTCTCCCATTTCCCCACCCCCTTTCCATAATTGCAGATAATACAGAAATAACATGTATAATTGAGTCTAAGATCTTTTTTCCTCACATTTTAATACTTCTGAAATCAGGGTACATCTTAAGATTGATGGTGCAGCATTTTTTCTTCTTTCTTGTTATATAAGTTAATGGTGGTGTTAGAGTCAATGATATCATAGTTTTCATGTAATGCAAGTGCTCTCTCATTTGGGGCAATTAAAAAAAATTGCATTTGTCTGTTTTGCAGGGTTGAACTTTATTACGGTACAAATTAGCTGGGCCCAGTGGTTCATGCCTATAATCCCAGCACTTTGAGAGGCCAAGGTGAGAGGATTGTCTGAATCCACGTTCTGAGATGAGCCTGGGCAACTTGGAGAGATCTCATCTCTACAATTAATCAAAAAATTAGCTGGGTGTGGTGGCGCGTGCCTGTAGCTCCAGCTACTTGGAAGGCTGAGGCGGAAGGATGGCAGGAGCCCAGCAGGTCGAGGCTGCGGTGGCCATTAGCGTGCCACCGCACTTCAGCCTGGGAGATAGTGAGACTGACTCAACAAAAACAAACAAAAGGCACAAATTACGTAAAATAAAATGTGCCAATTTTAAGTGTACAGTTCGATGAGTTTACAAAAATATGTAAGTACCACCACAATCATGATAAAGAATTTTCTTTTTGTTTTTAAAGTAGAAAAACAGGTTTATTGAGTACGTTGGAAGGGAGACAGCAGGTAGGACTTAGTGCCAACTTTAAGTTTTTGAGTCGGGTCTCACTCTGTCACCCAGGCTGGAGTATCTCCTGAGAAACTGGGACTACAGGTGTGCACCGCCACACCCAGCTAATTTTTTTTCAGATTATTTTTTGGAGAGATGAGGTCTCGCTATGTTGCCCAGTTGGTCTCAAACTCCTGGGCTCAAGAGATCCTTCCGGGGGGTGGGGCTGGCAGTTGACGGAAACTGCTAGGGGAGGAAAGAACATACCCCATCAACAAGGGTACCTGCATCGGTGTTTATATACCTAACCCTTACTTGTACCCCACATCTTTATAATAAATAAATCAATTAAAAAAAAAAAAAAGAGAGATCCTCCCGCCTCCGCCTCCCAAAGTGCTAGGATTACAGGCGTGAACCACCGTGCACGGCAAGAATATTTTCATCACTCCAAAATGTTCCCTGGAGTCCCTTTGAAGTCAATTCCTCCACTCACCACATCTCCTGGCAATCACTGATATGTTTTCTAGTACTATAGTTTTACCTATTCTAGAATTTCATATATATGGAATCATACAACATATATTCTCTTTGGGTCTGAATTCTTGTACTCAACATAATCATTTACACTAAACTTTCAAGATGAAAGGATTCGATTTACTTACAAATAGGGACCTGCGGCTTCAAAACTCCGGACCAACCGCAGGCAGCTGCTTTGTATGCCGGTACTTGTAGTACTCGACATTTCTAGTCAAGATGGCGGAGTTGCCCACGACGCGCGAAGGAGCTGGCCTCGAGGGAGTCTGGGCCGCGAGAGGATTTGGCGGCGCGAGAACTTGGCAGGCGGGAAGTAAAGACCAGGTGTTAAAACCTTTCCTTTAAAGGAGGCGGGGCTCCCTAAAGTCTCGCGAGATCCTGGAGGGGCCCAATGGAACGCGAGGGCCAGTTTATCACTAGGGGCATTTGTTGGGGGCGGAGCTCCAGCGGGAACTGCCCGGGAGTCGCTGGTGCCCGGCGTAGCAGCGTTCGGGCGTCCAGCCTTTGCGAAGAGCGTAGCTGTGATCATGAAGGAAGAGAAGGAGCATAGGCCTAAGGAGAAGCGAGTTACCCTATTAACCCCCCCAGGGGCCACAAGCAGCGGCGGTGGGACTTCGGGGGACAGCGCCAAAGGGGAAGATAAGCAGGATCGCAACAAGGAGAAGAAAGAGGCGCTGAGCAAGGTGCCCGGCCGGCTGTTGGCCTGGGAGAGGGCGGGTCGGGTCTGTAGCTCGTGCAGGATGGCTGGGAACCGGGCAGCTCTCTCCCTCTCCATGGTTTCTCTTCTGTGTCTTCGCATCGCCTCCTCCTTTCTCATCCATTCCCCCGAATTGGGGGGAGCCCCTCTCGGTCCAGCCCCGAGGTGGGGTTGAGGAAAAGAGGGGACTCCCCAGACGGAAAGGATTTAGATCGGAGGTGTGAGATAATAATGGGGGGAGGGAGCGAAGTCAAAAGAAAGGGGAACTAAAAGATTAATTGGGGAGGATTATTAAATAGTGAAAGCGACATAAGGGATGGGAGTAGTTTGTGGTAGGAATATTCATGGAGGCGAGTTGAGGGGAGGGTGCCATTAAAAGTCCGGGGGATCGAGAGCATCCTATTTTGAGAGCAGTGAGTTAATTTTTTGTATCTGTTTCGAGTTCTTTAAGATTAATGGGCAAGTAATTTGATTTAGAGTGTGTTGGGCTTGGGAGAGAGATAATACCAAATCAAGATTTTGTGGCACCCACGAAGACCAAGGTTGGCCTACTAATTTCTTTGCCATTAGATCTGTTGGAAAATGGATGATAGAAAATGATGCTCAAGCCTGGTAAACTGCAGGGCTGCAGTTAAGAGCAAAACCTGAGATTTCTCTTGCTCCAGGCGGTATTCATATCCAGGAGTTAAAAAAAGAAAAACTCATTACTATTCTGTTTGACTAATTTTGAGCATTGAGCTACAGAAGAGTGTTTTCTTCTGAATTTGTATGTGATCTCATATTTTAAAGCCCAGCTTTCTTCAGGAACTGTGATTCTTGTATGACAGAAAATTGATTTGTATTAATTTTATTTTCCTTCTGCATTTCTTAAGGTGATAATTCGAAGATTACCTCCCACTTTGACCAAGGAGCAACTTCAGGAGCATCTTCAACCTATGCCTGAACATGATTATTTTGAGTTTTTTTCTAATGATACTAGGTAAAAAGAAAAAAAAAAAGGGGGTAAATGTAAAGAGGGTTTAGTCCATTCTTTTTATCTTAGTAATGTTTTCCATTTGATTTTGGAGCCTGTCTCTTTAATATATCCTTGTAATTCAGCCACACACCTACAAGGACATTTACATAATTGCTTTCTTCTCTACAGTCTGTATCCTCATATGTATGCCAGAGCATACATCAACTTTAAAAACCAAGAGGACATTATTTTGTTCAGGGATCGCTTTGATGGTTATGTATTCCTTGACAATAAAGGTGAGTCCTTGTAACTGAACTAGAAAAGAAGTTTCTTTGTCATTTGTATGTTTAAGACAATAAGCTCATCAAAGTGTTTCCTGGGTGATAAAATGTGCAACGTTTTTGAAAAGAGTTTTACACTTTTGATAAGCTTACTGCAGTCTTATAAATAGACGTGTGACTTTTAACAGCCCTCAGATATTTTTGTTAACCTGTGATTTCTTTAGTTTGAGCAACTGAATTAAATTGCCACTGTTTTCTCCTTGTGTGACAAAATTAGGCCTACCGTTTCATTTCAACAGCAATACTGATAAATGAGTTTTAAAACTTGTTCCACAAGTTTTAAATGTTTACTTCTCATCTTGCTTCAAGAACAGACATTTATTTAATTATTTAATTCAAATCCTTTAAGTCAGCAGTCTCCAGGTTGGAATACTGTTTAACTTTCTCACAAAGTTGTATGTAATTGAAATACTGAAATTCATGGTTTTCCACTTTTTATCATAAAGAGTCTAGTTTATAGAAAAGGCAAATATCTGCCTTACCACTTTTTTACTTATTACCTGCTGCTTGCAACATTTAGGCAAAGAAAGTCTAAGCCGTCATTTGCCACTTTTTGTTTTCGTTTTTTGCTTTTTTTGTTTTGAGTCAGAGTCTCACTCTGTTGCCCAGGCTGGAGTGCAGTGGCACGATCATGGCACATTGCAGCGTCAGCCTCTGGGTCTCAGAACTTCCAAGTAGCTGGGACTACAGGTGCATGCCACTACGGCCAGCTAATTTTTAAAATTATTTTTTTTGTAGAGGCAAGGTCTTGCTATGTTGCCCAGGCTGGTCTTGAACTCCCAGGCTCAAGCAATCCTCCCTTGTTGCCCTCCCAAAGTGCTGGTATTATAGGCATGAACCACTGCACCCAGCCGCAACTTTTCTTTTGGCTTTGTAATCATAGGTGAATGGTTTTGTTTTTTCAGTATTACTTCAAAATTGGTAATTAAATCTTTGCCAGAGAATATGCCAGTAAAAATTGAAGAATTGCCACAATGTTTGTACAACTTTTATTAATCCTCCAAAACCAACTATTTCTCTACTCCAACTTTTTTTTTTATTCTAGAAGGGAGATAGCAATGATTTCCTAGTTACTTATCCTGGAAATCTGAGTTATGTTTAATTTCTTTTCCTTTTTTAAATCCCTTACATTTAAATCTTGTCAGTTTATGGTTTTTCAATGTCTTGGTCACCTAGACTTACTTTCATACTTGTATGTCCTTATCACCTGATGCTTAGACAACCACCATCTCTAAACTTACAGGGTTTCCATTTTTTCCACTTTTGAGTCGGAATATCACTCTGTCACCCAGGCTGGAATGCAGTGGCATGATCATAGCTTACTGCAGCCTTGACTTTCTGGGCTCGGTATTCCTTCTGCCTCAGCTTCCTAAGTAGCTGGGACTATAGGTCTGCACTACCACACCTGGCTGTTTTTTTTATTTTTTGTAGAGATAAAGTCTCGCTGTGTTGCCCTAGCTGGTCTTGAACTCCTGGGCTCAAGCAATACTCCCGCCTCTGCCTCCCAAAGTGCTGGAATTGCATGCCCAGCTTGAACTTCCTTTCTTTTTAAGGCTTGTATTCTATTGTATGTATACCCCACATTTTGTTTATTCATTCATCTGTCAAGGGCCACTTGGGCTGCTTCTACTCTTGGCTATTGTGAATAATATTGCTGTGAATATGAGTGTACAAATATATGTTCAAGTCCCTGCTTTCACTTATTTGGGGTATATACACAGAAGTGGAATTTCTAGGACTGTGTGATAATTCTATTTTTAATTTTTTGAGGACTTGTCATACTGTTTTCTATAGCAGCTGCATCATTTTATATTCCTACCATCAATACGTGAGTGTTCAGTTTCTTCACATCCTCACCAGCACTCTTTATTTACTGGGTTTTTTTTATACTAGCCATCCTAGCGGGCTTGAGTGACCTCATTGGTTTTGTTTTTCAGCTCCCTAATGATTAGTGATATTGAGCATATTTCTATATGCTTGTTAACCATTTACATATCATCCTTGAAGAAATGTCTATTTAAGTCTTGACCATTAAAAATTGGGTTATTTTATTTTTGTTCTTGAGTTGTAGTTCTTTATATATCTGGATATTACCCATTATCAGACAGTATGATTTGCAAATATTTTCTCATATTCCATGCCTTTTCTCTCTGTTGATTGTGTCCCTTGATGCACAGAATTTTTTAATTTTGTTGTAGTCCTGTGTATTTATTTTTCCTTTTTTTTAAACAGAAGATGTACTTCATTTTATTTTTAAAGTTTTATTATGGTAAGAACATAACATGAGATCTACCCTCTGTATTTTTACCTTTTTTGCCTATGCTTTTGGTGTCCTGGATTTTTTTTGGTTATTATTTTACTGTTAACAGGGTTTTTTGCAGCTTTATTGAGGTATAATTACAAGAATAATTGTATATATTTGAATTGTACAATGCAGTAATTTGATAACACATATATATTGTG